GTGTTTTCCATTTCGTTTGATAATGCTACTGCAAATACTGCATCTATACGTGAACTTACCGATATTTGCACTCCAATTTGCGGCGGAAGATTTTTTCATATTCGTTGTATATGTCATGTCTTAAATCTCTATGTACAAGCTGGTTATCATGCTTTTAAAGATTCGGTCACGCCAATTAGGGACGCTGTTAATTATTTACATAAACGTCCCCATGAAATGAAAGCATGGGGACGATTTTGTAAAGATCAAGGGGTGAAACCTAAAAAATTTCAACCCGACGTTCCTAACCGGTGGAACTCAACATTAAAAATGTTGAGTGACACGATTCCGTTTATGACACAACTGCAGAATTTTTTTAACCATTCAAACCGTAAGGACTGTGATGTCCGAGTGTCAACAAGAGATTGGGAGAACTGTAATGCACTTATTCAATTTTTAGAAACATTTCAAAATGCTACTAACATGCTTTCAGGTGTTTATTATCCTACTGCTCAGCTTGTGTTAAGTCAAGCTATAGCCATAATGTGGGCTTTCAAGGATCTTTACGACTTGAATTTTTATAAATATGGCTATTTAGTTGAGGAAATGTTAAAGAAATGGTTAAAATATTATTATTTCATTCCTGATACACATTTAGTTGTATGACATGTTTAGGGAAACAGCGATCGCACAAAGTGAACCTCCCAGCACATTTGTTCGTGGCGGCGAGGGCAGCAGCAGCGGGTCTTCTTCTTACGGCGGTAGTCAAGTAGGCGCTTCGAACTATAAGGAGTGGTGGGCATCATTAAATCCCTACAAGAATGCTGGCGTTGAAAGGGCAAAGGGAAGTGGATACTATGAGCTTGATCACTACCTAACGTCGAATTTGATACTTACGATTGCTCGTGAACCAAGTCCGCCACTCAATTTTGATGTCTTGGACTGGTGGTCGAGAATGCAAGGCATATATCCTATTCCTTGCTTGATGGCCAAAGAGATTTTCCCCGTCCCAGCATCTACAGTTGCGGTCGAACAAGCCTTCAGCGAGGGAGGTTGTATGCTCGACGCACGACGATCGAGGTTGACGCCCGAAAATCTACAAGCACAAATGCTGCTGGTGGATTGGAAAAAGGCCGAACGAAGGATGCAAACGGCTATGTACGTAGATGAAGAAGCAGACGACGACGATGACGCATCTAATTTTACGAGTACGACGAGTGGTGGAACCGGAATAGGAGATGACGAGTATGACTATTAGAGACAACCACTCGTGTACAGGTAAGTAAATCGAAAGAACTACGTGGACTTTGATTCCCAATATAAGGGATACGTAGGCAACTTAATTGACATTTATAAGTTAAAATATCATTTTTTTTCCAAAAAAAAAAAAAAATTCAAGTTATATGATATTTTAACTTAATAAATGTCAATTAAGCTCAAGTCCAATATTTTTTTTTTCTTTTTATATCAACTTTAAAATATCTAAACGTAACAAGAATTAATTTGCCACTAGAAGACATTGTTCAGAAATTCAGGCAATAATATCAATTATTCCAATAATGCCCCGCCCACAATCTCCATTGTTGTATTGTAGACGTATTAGAGAGTGCGATGCAGGTTCCACAACGGAGATTGTGTGCGTGGCATTATTGGCGTAATTGATGTTATTTCTTTGATCATTATTTGGTCAATTTTTGGAATTTCTTGAGCTGTAAGTAAATTAATAAAAAGTACTTGGACTTTTTGACACACCACTAATACGTAGGCACCTTAATCCTTAAGTTAAAATATCAATTAAAATAAGTTAAATTACATCAGTAGAAGGATGTTCTATAACGGAGACAATCGCAGTTGGCTTCGTTTACGAGGTTCTTAACGTTTAACAATCTTCCAACACTGCAAGGAAGCTGCAATCTTTTTCACACACCACTAAAAATATTGGATTATTGTATCAAATTATTGATACAATAATCCAATAGTTTTAGTGTGTGTGGAAAAGACTGTAGTTTTCTTGTAGTGTTGGATGATTGTTGAACATTTAAGAACCCCTTAACCGATGCCAACGGCAATTGTTTCCGTTATAAAACATCTTTCACAAATTTAAACAATAACATCAATTACATCGATTATGCCACGTCCACATTCTCCCATTGTGGATCCTGCTTCTCACTCTCGTATACGTTTACAATATAGCAGTTATAATTCTATGACACAGGCTGACATACAAATTCTTCAATACTTGAAGTTTGTTGAAGTTTGTTTGTGTATACTATCTCTATGTTGTTGTATTGTAGGCGTATGAGAGAGTCAGAAACAGCATCCACAATGAGAGAATGTGTGCGTGGCATAATCGGTTTAACTGATGTTATTGCTTTTAACTCTAATTGGTAAACTTTTCGAATTTCCTAGAACTGATATCCACAATGAATCACGACCTTAAAAAATGAATGCCTAATATTGAAACTTAAAAGAACTACGTGGACTTTGATTCTCAATATAAGGGGTACGTAGGCACCTTAATTGACATATGATATACTATACTTAAAAAATGTCAATTAAGCTCAAGTCTATTTTTTTTTTATCAACTTTAAAATCCTAACGTAACAAGAATTAATTTTCCTTTACAAAACATTGTTCATAAATTCAAGCAATAATATCAATTACTCCATTTATTCCACGTCCATAGTCTCCATTGCTTTGATCATTATTTGGTCAACTTTTAGAATTTCTTGAGCTGTAAGTAAATTAAAAAAAATTA